GGCCGCAGGAAGGGCACCCTCCTGCAAAGAAGCGTTAACAATTCCCTGGAGCCAGGCTCGTGTACCCTCCCGGGCTGCCAGTACCAGCCAGGAGGGGCACGGATCCAACAAACATGTGGTTGCATTCAGCCCTCCCAAGACCCTGTCCACGTCCTCGGGAGCAACAGAGTCAAACTCCTCCCATATAACCGTCTCAAGAATTAAGGAGAAGCTTCCTGAGTGAGGTCAATTAACCAGTGGAACAGCTTGCCTCCAGAAATCGTGGGTGCTTCATCACTGGAGATTTTTAAGAAGAGACTAGACAGTCACTTGTCTGAAATGGTATATGTTCTCCTGCTTGAGTGGGGGGGCTGGACTAGAAGACCTCCAAAGTCCCTTTCAGCTCTATTCTATTCTACTACATCAAACTGACTCCCTCTTAAAGTTTACCTTGTGGCAATAGCAAAACATGCTTATGCCTCTGCTTTTATTTTACCCTTTGAGTATCATTCACTGGCTCTGTTCAGCCTAACTTGTTCCCTTCTGACAAAGAGGAGAGACAGTACTGACAGGCTGCTGTTATGACCATTCTTGGCACCCAATGGATAAAGTTCTGCAAATTTGTGGTGAGTTATTAGTGAGATATGGCCTTGTGTAGTTACTCCTCTCAGATAACTACACAAGGTGGTAGTCGTGGTCAGGAGAGCCTTCGCGCAACTATATACAGGAGTGGGATATCTGTGAGATGCTTCTTCCTGATGGTATCTCTCCATCCCACATGCTTTAGTGGGACGGGTATGCTCTGAGACTCCTCTTGGAAACAATGTCATCTGATGGGACAGGAAAACCCTTCCATTTTCACTGTAGCATCTGCCCTCTGGAACAATCTCTCTCTCACACACACCCATTTCCTAATCTAGTTGGACCCAATCTCGTTAGTTTTCAGGACAATACTAAACAAATTGGGGCCAAGTTGGTTGATGTAAAGTAAGTTTGAGTTTCTGATTGCCTACTAATTTCTGTTTATGCTTTTAAGCATAC